CACCTGGTCCATCATCACAGCGTTGGATTCGCTTCTGAACAGGTGCAGGCCTCCTCTTGGGGGCGCACGGAAGTAATTGAGTTGGGGATGTACTTTGCAAGAAACTGGGGTGTCTGCAAGCAGCTGAGAGCCAAAGCCAGGGCTACTGAGTTACGCGAAAAGCCTGGGTTTTAACTCTCATATGTTGAACGGAAAACTAAATGAGGTGGGGCTAAGACGCATACGGCCCATCCACGTTCCACGTTCTGTTCAGGGCTCCTTTTGATGTAGCTAACTGTGGTATCTGTAACTGCTGACCTTGACTGTCAGCTTGGTCGGGTCTGGGATAAACTAAGAGACACGGACACTTGGGAGAGCACTTCCTGAAAGGACTAACTTCGAAGACCCTCCTCCACAGAGTGGGGGGCACTCTTCCGGTGGGTGGGCCATATATAAGGAGGCCTAAGGAAGGAGCAGCATTGGCTGTATGCCTGCACTTCCTGCTGATGATTTCTTCTTCCTCTGTTACTGTTGCCATCCCTTGTCCTTGCTGACCTCAGGCTCCAGCTTCCTCAAGCTCCAATGTGGGCTGCAGACCAGGAACCCTCCAGGAGCCCTGCAGCCCCACAGCACCACACTGGGACTGCTGAGGAACTCGGCTTCACTCACTGAGCACCTACCAAGTTTCCAGCCTCTCCGGCTGACCATCCAATCCCTCTCAGTCTATGCCACTCTGGTCAACCCCTTTTTAATATGCATACATTCTACCTGTTCTAGAGAATCGATAGTATGTGTGTATTGATGTGCTCACCTGTGAGGGTTGTGTAAAGGTCAATCATTTCTCCTTTGACCACTCCCCAACTTGTTTGGGGTTTTTTGTTGTTGTTGTTTTGGTTTTATTTATTTGTTTGTTTGCTTGTTTGAGACAGGGTCTCACTGTGTAGTCCTGGCCGACCTAGAACTTGCTATGTAAGCTAGGCAGGATTCAAACTCACAAAGATCCACCTGCTTCTTCCTCCTGAGTGCTCGTAGGTGTCCTTGAACTATCTACCGAGCCATCTCCCCAGCCCTTATCAACATCTTATTTCCCTGACGGAACACTTGTCCTATACTTGTTTCTCCTGTATCTCACTCCCTGACACTCCCAGACACATTACTGATGCGCATGTTTCAGATCTCCGTGAAAAATACAGAGGTCGGGCTGGAGAGATGGCTCCGCTGTTACGAGCATGTGCTACTCAGACAGACGACTCAGATTCAGTTCCCAGCACCTACACGATGGCTCACGACTGTCTGTAACTCCAGTTCTGGGGATCCAATATCTTTTTCAGACCTCTGCAGGCACCAGGGACATAACCAGTGCACATACATACATGTAAGCAAAGCATTCAAACACATAAAATAGAAATAAATGAATCCCTCTGTGTTTGTTTTGTTTTGGTTTTCAAGACAGGGTTTTCTTGTGAAGCCTTGGCTATCCTGGAACTTACTCTGTAGACCAGGCTGGCCTTGAGCTCAGAGATCCACCTGCCTCTGCTTTCCAAATGCTGAGATTAAAGGCGTGTGCCACTACCTGGTAAAAATAGATGACTATTTTAAAAAATAAAAATACAACATCAAAAAGATAATAATCATAAACAATATCCTAAAATAAAAGTTAGTACACCATTAACAATAAAAAGGAATTAAAGGAATATTTGAAAATTAAAGATATAAAGAGCAAAATGATAAAAACTGCAAAATCAGGAAAAAGTCAGAATTATAAAGAAATAGTCAATTTCCCATAACTAAAAAACATAAATGTCTATACTGAATGTGATTACCAAGTACACAGTGCAATGAATAAAAGAAAGCACACACAAAGATACTAACTAGTACAATGTCAGAACATCAAGTATAAGAAGAGGGCTGGAGAGATGGCTCAGAGGTTAAGAACACTCGCTGTTCTTCCAAAGGTCCTGAGTTCAATTCCCGGTACATGGTGGCTCACAACCATCTATAGTAAGATCTGGTGTGCAGGCAGAATGTTGTATAAATAATAAATCTTTAAAAAAAAGAATAAGAAGAAACATGATGGCAGACTGTGATAGGACAATCATGAAGTCAAGGTTAGCCTAGGCTACACAGACAACCCCTTTCTCAAAAGAAGGAGGGGGAAAAAAAACAAAAAAGGAGGAAGAGGAAGATGAACTTCACAGAGAACAGGTTATGTACAAAAGTTTCTGGAGTTGTAATAATAGCATATTGTTTAGTAATCACCTGGAAACCAGAAAATAGTCACTAAGTTCAAAATGAAGAAAACATATCCCTAACCTTGACTTTTATACTCAACCAAACAATACAGCAAAAAGGCAAAATAAGCTCTATCTTTTTTCATACAATGACTCAGTGAAACTGAAATTGGGTCCTCTGTAAGAGTAGAAAGCACTGTATCCACACAGCCACCTGTCCAGACTCAATTATGTACATTTTCATGAGGTCAAATGATTATATTCATTCTTACTGCTGTTATTTTGGCTTAAGCAATTGTTGACAACACTGGGAAAAAAACTGATCCTGCTTTCTGTTTTGTTATATTCCTCATGTGACCATTTCAAACATAGACCAATAAAAACCATCAAAGCAAAAACAAAACAAAGCTACCAAGGTATTGGTTTATCCATATAGGATTAAAAAAAAAAAAAACTGGTGAAAAGTCATTCTTTGAGAAGTATGTCCCATTATTTGTGGCTCTACTGTGCACTATGCTGGCTACAAATAACTCACTCATTCACCCAGTGTAGACAAAGCACACTCCCTTGCAGGTCTTCTCTCGGATTGAAGGCACCATACAAAATCTTAGTTCTCTTCTATCAGTGATATTTTCAGTTGTACTTTCAGTGGCTTTCAATCCTGCAAAGTGATCAAATCCAGCAGCATGTTCTTTTTTCTTTCAGTTTTTTGAGACAGGGTTTCTCTGTGTAGCCATGACTGTCCTGGAATTCACTCTGTAGCCTGTAGACCAGGCTGGCCTCGAACTCTGAGATCCCCCTGCCTCTGCCTCTCAAATCCTGGGATTAAAGGAGCGTGCCACCATTGTCCAGTGAAGCAGCACATTCTTAATTGTTTAATGTCTGCAATTCTTTTTTTTTCCAGTAAAACTTAAATTTAATGGCAGAATTTATTGCTTATGGATCAACTTGAAAGCAGATATACACAAATTCCAAAATTCAACAGTCTGAAGAAAATTTCCATTATCTTTTCTAATTTTTCCATTTTTCAAGAGTTGCCAATCTTACTTAGCGTGGTGACACATGAGGCATGGAAATTTCTGTAAGTTTGAGACCAGCCTGGTCTACATCACAACTTGCAGGCTAGCCACACTACATAGTGAAACCCAACCTCAGTTTAAAAAAGAAAGAAAGTAAAAGTTGCCAATCTTTAAAAACAAAGGTGCTCACATCTATATTCTCAAAATTAGAGTTGGGGAGAGAGAACAAGAGGATTGCTGTGAATTCCAGGTCAGTCTAAGACACAGGGTGAGACTGTCTCAAATTAAAGAGGAGTAGTGGGATCACACCCCATTTTTTGTATTTTCAGGAAATGTACTCACTGAGCATATATTACAAATACAGTAATAAGAATAAAATGAGCACTCAGGAGGCAGAGACAGACTGATCTCCACGAGCTCAAGGACAGTCTTGTTTACATAGAGTTCCAGGCCAGCCAGGGCTACGTATTGAGACTCTGTCTCAAACAAACAAACAAAAAGTAAAATAAAATAATAAAATAAGTGAAGTGGTAGCGGATGTTGAGTGTCTTACATGTATGGATCCCTAGCACTGAAAAAAAGAAGGAAGAAGAGGGAAGAAAGAAAGGAAGGGAGGGAGAAGAGAGCTGGAAGGAAGAGAAGAGAGAAAAGTGGAAGAGAGGGCCGGGAGAGAGATTATAATTCCTGAGAAGATAACAGTGACATCTTTAGTGTGAAACAGTATTCAGCAACATACTTTGTGCTAATATGTGAATGAGCAAAACAACTCATTCATTTTGTCTACCTTTCTAGCCAGTAGAGACAGAAGTGTAACATTCTGTGATGTACAGGTATCTGTATGCCTGATCCTAATGCTGTCTTGCTCATTTTTATATCCTCGGAGCTTAGACAACTTTGAAGGGAGGATTTTCCAGAAAGAAACATTTTCCAAAATGGTCAGAGGATCAGTATCCGCTCTTGCCAAAAAATTTTTTTGCAGGCAGCTCTGTCCATCCTCTTTGCAGACGTCAAGGCCTCATGAGAAGTCAATGCTAATTTAAAAAGTCACTTTTTTTTTTTCCGGGAGCAAGAGCCTCCCACTCCGTGCAAAGAGGAGCCAAGTGAACAGAACCGCAAAGACTTGGCTTGCTTCAAACGCAAACTAATTTATTATTATTGGCCCAAATTTGCCCTCTCTCCTGGGGCACAGGCCAATATCCACAACCGCACTGAAGCCTCCAGCAGGGAAAACCAGTAGCTGGTAGGGAGCACAGCGATTCTCAGCTAAAACCCAGGGAGAGCTGCCCCCGTGCTCTTCAAAAGCCTCCAACAGATCTCCTTTAAAGTCTCCATTTCCTAAGAAACGCTTCCAATTTTCAATACTAAAATCTAAAGAGCCCTTCAGGCTCTCCCCCAGTGCTGCTGCCACTTTCGGGGTCCGCCAGGCACAAGCCCTCAGCTGGACCACACTCGCTACAAACCCGGTCGTCCTCCTTTAAAGCAACCGCGCGCAGCGGGAATGCCCGGGAGTTCACCTTCCGGCCGCACACAGAGGCTATTCTCCCACTGGCGCTGCGGCCGCGGAAGCCGCGCCTCGGGCCACGCCCCAGCCACGCCCCTAGCTCTGCCCCGCCCACCCAGGCTTGAACGCGCGGGAGGGGCGTGGCCTTGGGGGAGAAGCGCTCCCAGCGCAGGTCCGGGCGCCTCACCGAGCGCGGTCCCGCGGCGGCACGCTCCGAGGCGGCCGGGCGCGAGCTCGTGCGCGCGCTCCCGCCTCCCTCTCCGGTGACGTGCCTGGCCGAGGCCGCGCTAGGGCGCTGGAGCTGCCACAGAGCGGCTGTCATGGCGTCGGAGGCGCTGGCTGAGGAGAACCGGCCGCGGTGTCTATAGGACCGGGGGCGGGCGGCCGGGGATGGAGAGAGGCCCTGACAGCCCGCAGCCTCTGGAACTCGGGGTGGCGGCGGGGCGAGAGTCGCCGCCGGAAGGGCGACGGCGCGGCGGGCGCGAGGCTGAGGATGGTCCCGCAGGACGCTCGGAGGGGAGCGACGGGCAGGGGGCGGCGGCCGCGCGGAGCAGCCTCGGGGACCCGCCGCCGCCCTCGCCGCACGGCCGCGACGCGGGCTCGGACCTGAAGGACAGCGCGGCGCCCAGCCCCGCCGCCTCGGAGGCGCCTCCGAGAGGGCAGCGCAAGGTGACCGCCTCCCCGGAGCTGGCCGAGGCCGCGGCGGCCCGAGGGTCGGGGCCGGCGGGAGAGCCGGGCACCTGCGGGGTGGAGCAGGCGGCCGAGGAGCCCAGCAGCGCCGGCGCCCTGAGCAGCAGCTGCAGCGAGCCGAGCCCCCCGGGGGACTCGCCCAGCCTGGACTCCCTGGAGTCTTTCTCCAACCTGCATTCTTTCCCCAGTAGCTCTGAGTTCAACAGTGAGGAGGGAGCGGAGACCAGGGTCCCCGAGGACGTGGAGGAGGGCGCGGCGGGGCCGCCCGGGGCTGCACCTCTGTGCGAGGAGGAGGAGGACCCGGCTCAGGTGCTAGCGGCCTCCAAGGAACGCTTTCCCGGACAGTCGGTGTATCACATCAAATGGATCCAGTGGAAGGAGGAGAACACGCCCATCATCACCCAGAATGAGAATGGACCCTGCCCTTTGCTGGCGATCCTCAATGTTTTGCTTCTGGCCTGGAAGGTACAATCTGCAGCTTTCTACTTCCTACAGCTTGTGGGGAGGGGCAAAGTGGGGTGAGGAAACTGCTGTTTGTCAGCTGATAGCTTCCTTGTTTCTTCATTCATCAGACTCTTTTTGTTGTTGTTTATTTTGGAGACAAGGTATCTCTGTATAGCTTGGGCTGTGCTCGACTCATTCGTGATCTTCGTGCTTCACCCTCTGGAGTGCTAGGTTTACAGGGCATGCACCACTACATCTAACAGTCCCTTCTTACATGGAATTAATTCCAGGATTTCTTTAATGAAAGATTATTCACGTACATATGTGTCAGAAAGAATTGCCCTAACTTCAGGCCCCTCTTGTCTTAAAAGTTAAACATGCAGCTAAAGGTTGTAACTGTGTACGTATAAACAAGTAGAATCTAGCGCTCCCTACACCTACACCTTCTGATTATTTTTAGCTACAGTTGCCTATTTTACTCCCTCTTACTGACATTAGCACATATGCAAAACAGTGGAAACTGGAAAAAGTGACCTTTAGAGTCAGATCTTTAGAGTCTGATATCATGGAGTAAGTTTTGATGATCATATCTACACTGTTTTCTAGAGCATGCTGCCTGCCTCACTTGGTTATGGATACATGAAAGACTGGTGATAGCGAATATTCAGCCCTTTTAGGCAAATTCCATTTAAGGAACAGGATTGCTCTGAGCTCACTTACTATAAATTATTTGTTTTCAAAGACCACATTGTCATCTTGTATATGATTTTTTTTTTTTTTTTACTTGTTCCTTTGACTCTAAGGGTTTGGTTTTTTTGTTTGTGTTTGTTTTTGTTTCTTTTTACTAGTAACTATACGTTAGAATTTGTTAAGGAAGCTAAAACTATTAACAACTAAAATAAGTAATGGTAAGTCTAAGATACTGGAGCACAAAAAGGGAAGGGCAGGTGTATTGAGGACCAAGAATAAAGTGTCATACTTAAGCTTGCAGTTTCTGGGTTCAGAGAGGATGCATCTCAGCACCTGTTATCAAATTGATGATTCCATCTAAAATGTTCCCTAGAAGAATAGCTTAAATTATGCTAACCAGTTATGAAGAACTGAGATGGATAGTGAGAGAGAGATCTCAAACACTAAATTGTCTTGCAGCTCTGTGTTGGGTATCTGTGGCTCTTAATGGAATCACCTGGGTTCCAGTCATCTGGATTAGTCTCTGAATATGTATGCATGCTAAGGAATTTGAAGATTATTTTGACTAACCTCTGCATTAATCCAGCATTCTAGGGCTTTTGCATCCAAGAGTTCCAAACTTATCCACATTCTTTCCACCAACCAGTTCAAAAGGTCTAAGAGCTGCATGGTCCAGTTTATCATAACAAAGGCTCCATTCCTGAATTCCAGTTTTCTGGCATACTTTTCTCACTGCTGTAACAAAATACCTGGCAAAAGCAACTTAAAGTAGGGTTTATTTTCGCTCACTGTTTGAGGATACAGTCCAGTCAGTCAGGGAAGAAATGGCAGCTGGAACTGGAAGCCACTGGCCACATTGCATTCATAGTCAGGAAGCAGAGAGATGACTGCTCAGTTTGATTTCTTTTTATTTAGTCCAAACCCATGGAACGATGCCACCCACATTCAGAGTGGGAGGAGCAGTTACCATGACCTGGATTACTCCGAGGATATATGAGCCTTGAACTGACTCTAAAATGCAGATTCAAATGTGTGACCACATGTTTGGGTTCTGGCTTTGTGGAAAACACCATAAATGCAAAGACAGTACAATACAAAGTACCTCAGCCCTCCAGTAGCTCAGTATATGGTAAAGAGGCAGACATGAAGAGTAACTGCGGAGCAACGTGAACAGCCCTAATGTGCTAAGGGAGAAAAAAGAAAAGTGGGTGTGGGGCTGTGGGGGTAGAGAGGTAATTGAGAATGGGATCTCAGAGAGAGGCTTCAGAGATGAAACTCACTGATTCAGGTCTGAAGATTGAATAAGATAAGGCCTCTGAGGAAAAGGGTACATTTAAGAAATATCAAAGACAGTTATTGTTTTGATCACCTCTAAGTTTGTTGAAATGCAGTGGAGAAGGAGAACGAAAGTGTCATAGCAAGAAGTAAATTTTATGGGTTTGGTTAGTCTGTGAATGAGTATGCATGCTAATGACTTTGAAGACTATTTTGAAAATCTGTGGTTCTTAGTCCTTTTTCTGCCTGCAGGCTATTTATGCCAACAAAAATAGTCATCATTAATGATTGATAGAGTGATGAGTGAGACAAGCAATGTCAAGTAGTATTTTCAAGGTGAACCAGGGTTTCTAGAGGTCAAAACTGTTTTCCTAATAATACGAAAATGTTATTTACCTTTTGGAAGTCAGCAGAGATTTCCAGACTCTTTGATGGATGAGTGATGATTGAGGTTAAAAAGGAGAGCAAAAGGGCATCCACTATACACAACACACAGAGAGAAATATTTGTCAGGTTATAATATCTGTGAACTAGTTTGTGTGTGTGTGTGTTTCTGTATCACTCTCAATGTTTCTAGTTTTTGGTTTTTTTGGAGACAGGGTCTCTCAGTTGAACTTGTTCTTTCAGTTAGACTGGCTGGCCAGTGAGCCCTGGATTTTCCTGTTCTGCTTCTCCACCCCTCAGTGCTGAGGTTACAGAAGCATGACACTGCAACCCAGATTTTACAGGGGTGCTGGGGATCTACACTTGGATGGACTGTTTCCACTGAGCCATTGTTCCAGCCCCAAGTTTATTTTTTTCAAGTTTCTTTTTCTGATTAGCATATATTGTACAAAACAATGAATTTCACTATGACTTTTTCATACATGTATATAATATATTTTGGTCATAGTCATCTTTTCATATGATAGAAATTATATAGAAAAATGGATTTCATTATAAAATTTGGCTTGTTTTGTTTTTGTTTTTGAGACAGAGTCTCATATACCACAGGCTGGGCTCCAGCTTACTGTGTAGCCTGAGGATGATTTTTGAACTTCTGATTGTCCTGCCGCAACCTAATTACAAGCATGTGCCACCACTCCCAGGTTATGTGGTTCTGGGGTTAACCAGGGCTTCATGTATTCTAGACAGGCACCTGTCAACTGAGCTACATCTCCAGCCCTCGTTACAGCATTTTCAGACATGTTTGTAGTATGCTTTGATCATCTTCACCTAATTCTAAAGGCCGGTTTCTTCTTTAGTGTACGTAGGTATTTTGCCTGCATGTGTATCTATGCACTACATGCCATTTTAGTGCCCAGGAAGCCAGAAAGGGCCACCAGATGTCCTGGAACTGGAGTTATAGATGGTTGTGAGGTACCGTATGAGTGCTTGGTATTGAATCCAGGTCTCCTGCAAGAGCAGCCAGTGTTCTTTACTGCTGAGCCATCTCTCTAGACCTGAGGATTAGTGTCTTAGTTTACAAAGAGCACTTATGAGTGAGCAAGAAAAAAAGCTGAGTAACATGATGACAAAAGGAAAAAATCAATAGCAAGAAACTTTAAGTTCAAATGGACATTTCCTGTCTTATCACCTTGAAGTTCTATGTCTGAGTATCTTTCCAGCAGTGGCTGTTTGCTGTGGCTCTTCCTCCTTTTGATGGCATTTCTTCTCCCATGTGTTCTTTCTTCAAAAAATACCTCATGTTGGTTTCTGACTTATTCTGCCCCATCCTACCGCAACCTGTAGAAGAACTACAATCACTAAGTTTTTCATGTTCTCTTTTCCTAAAGTAAGCACAAAACTCTTTTGAGGTTTCCAAGTGTGTTTATTGCTTACAAAAAAGGAAAAACAGATGGTGAGCCAAAGGTTTTCTTTTAGCCTCTGCCTACTCTATTTTAAATATAGATCTTCTAAGAAGAAATTAAAAACTTCACACTATGGTAGGACCTCATTTACATAAAAGAGTTGTGGGACAGTTCTGGGGCTTCCTTTTCCAGTTTCTCCCAAGAATTAAAAGTAACAGGTGTCTCTTGGGCTGGGAGAAAAGTAGACTAAAGCACTATGATCCTGGATGGGTGGATTCCTGATGCCAGTGATGGATATGTCTATCTCCTCTTCTTTGATAGTATTCCATCAGTAAAAAAAAGCCTTCCTGTCTCTTTTCCAACCATGCCTGTGGAGGTCCAGGTAAAGGACATTTGATTTTTGAATACATGTGGTACCAGCTGGGCGATGGTGGCACACACCTTTATCCCAGCACTCGGGGGGTAGAAGCAGGAGGATCTCTGGGAGTTCTAGGCCAGCTTGGTCTACAGAGTGATTCCAGGACAGCCAGGGCTGAAACAGAAAAACCCTGTCTTGAAAAACAAAATAAACAAAAAAAATGAGGGATCAACAAATAGGTCTTTGAATATAATAATTTTTTGTTTCTACTTTTTTTTTTTATTTTTGAAACAGGGTGTTGCTATTTAGCCATTACATTTGAATTTTAATTCTCTGGATTCAGCCTCTTGAGTGCTGGAATTACAGGTGTGCAGCAACATATCTGGCTTAAAGTCAACTTTGATATTGTTCTGCCATTATTCTCCACTTTTTAAAAAATAAGATACTTCCATGTATCTTTTGGGGGGTTTCCTTGGGGGGATGCTATTTTCATGCATGTATGCATGTGTACCACATATATGCCTGGTGCAAGTTGAGGCCAGAATGGCATCAGAGTCCTTGGAACTGAGTTGTGTTTGTGAGCCTTGATGTCAGTGTTGGGAATGGAACTCAGGTAAGTGCTTTTAACCTCTGAGCCACTTCTTCAGCCACTTATTCTCTACTTCTGAAAAAAAAAATTTTTTTTTTTACTTTTTTTTTTTTTTACTTTTTTATATGATTGTTTTGTCTGTATGTCTGTAAGTGTACCATGTGTATGCCTGTGCCTTCAAAGGCCAGGAGACATCAGATCCTCTGGGACTAGAGTTTTAGACAGTTGTAAACTGCCATGTGGGTACTGGAAATTGGACTTGGGATCCATGAAGGCTCAGCCAGTGATCAGGAGCCACTGAACTATCATTCCAGTCCCT